TTTGTCGGTCGTGGGGCTTGAACTCTGGGCCTGGGCGCTGTCCCTCAGCTCTTCAGCTCAAGGCGAGCGCTCTACCACTTGAGCTACAGCGCCACTTCCAAGCCCAAATCTCTAAGGAAGGCCTGGACTATGTGAATCCACAGCTCTTGGCCATTGTGGAGTTCTGGTACCTTGTTATACCAGAAGGCTTAAAGACTTGCATACCTTTTTTTTTTCACTTTAAGCTTATTTTATTTGCTTATTAGAGTTTGTTATTTGGCTGAAGTCCCCTTTTTCTTTTTTTTTATGCATGCTTTCTCTGTGTGTGTGAAAATACTGTACAGAGGGATTACAATTACATGGGCAAGATAATGAGTACATTTCTTATCAAGCATTGTAGCCTCCCCCTTTGTTTAGACATGCATACTTTAAAATGGAGACTATACTAGAGACATAGTCACTCTTCATCATATGCCAGGCTAGTCAGCTTTGTTTGTTTTGTGCCTGCATGGAAATAAAGAAGAGCAGCATGAGCCTACCTAAGGTCTTGGCTACATCCAAATCCTGCTGCATGTACCCAGTGCTCTTCTCTGTGTTTCCAAGAGACCAGTAAGCGCTGCTCAGGGCAGAGAAGACGGAGCCTCTCAGCTTGAGGCTGCAGGTGCCAATTTTCAGAGCAGCTTCTAAGACAACCACTGAGGCGCCATGGTGGCCAGCTGTCAGGAGTTCCTGCCCCACTACAGACACAACCACAAAGGGACTCTTGTCCAGTTTCATCTTCTGAAGCTGCTGATAAGTGGGCTCCAGGGAATCTGAAGGAAAAGGAAACAAGGAAATATAGGTTGATATACAAAGCAATCTTTTATAATATGTTCTAGAAACAGGTGACTTCTGTCTTTTTATTACCTAGTTCAAGTACAAACTCTTCAATCTAGCACTTCTGACTGCCCACTCACCAATTTGATTAGCTTCTCTCACCTCGCCCATCCAGCATTGTCCTCTGTCACTGCCAAGCACATAGGCCATGCATGGCCTTTCTCCTGGCTTTCTTCAAATTCCATGTACCATCATCCCTGAAGACTCTTCTCCCATCCTGTATCTTCCCTTCAAGTCTCACTTCTGGCAAGTCTTCTCAGCTCTTCCAGCTTTCATGAATTAATCCATTTATTCATTTATCTATTTATTTATTTATTTTTGTTGTGAGTACTGAGCCTTGAACTCAGGACCTTGTGTTTTTAGTTGGCTTGCTTGCTCACAGTTAATGATCTACCACTTGAGCCACTACTGCTGCCCAGCTTTTTTCTGGTTAATTAGATATGAAGTCTCCCAATCTTTTTTGCCTCAAGACTGGCTGACTTCAAACTGCAATTCTCTAGATCTCAGCCTCCTGTAGTTAGTGACATGTCTGACTTTCCAGCTCCCAGCTTGTCATCAATTCTTATGTCTAAACTGGTTTGCACTTTAGAGTTAGTATTGTATAGTTTGGCCAGCTATTTTAGAATTATTACACAACTGTCATTTCCCAGCTGACTCTAAAGGCTACTGAAGGACTATTTAATACTCAATTATAACCACATAGCAAATAGCACAACATGGCACATAAAAAATTATTTCACAATTACCATATAGGTGGAAGTCCTTAATGTGAGTGGCACTCAATAAATGTCAGCTAAAACTAAATTGGAATTACTGATCAATGAAATTTGCTCCTGTTTGCTCCTGGAGATGCAATATAAGTTCTATACCAGATCATTCTTCCTGGTAATACAAGGTCCATCACTGCTTCTGAAACCAGTATGTCCAAATAAAAATATTACCAAACAAAACCATAAGGTTTATTAAAGTAAGAGAGAAAACAGAGTTAACATAGATCTCAGTTTAATTATAAGCCATTTCTGTCAAGGTCAGAGGTCAGAGGGCCACACAGATTCCTTCCACTTACAGCGAGGCCTGAATGATGATGAACTCCAAGCTCTTATTCCTCTTCTCCCTCTCCTTTAGAGACAACCCTGCAGAACTATGAACTACTGCTCTGTAAGAAGATGGCCTTTCTGACCCATTTGTTGTTAGCTTTCCTGAAAATCTCTTGCAGATGAGTTGTTCTGCCACATACATGTAAAAAGCTAAAAAGAGGCTGGTCTCTTTAAATCCTTAATCTCCTTGTCCACAGTACTGCATTAAAATGTAATTTTTACAATTTATGACTTCTCAACTCTCTAGTAAGGAGCTCTCGTCTGAATCAACATTACCAGGGAAACCTTGAAACTTACTGGTGCCTAAAGCATTTTTTTCCTTCAATCAGATCACTAAACAGAGAACAAAGAACATTTTTACACCTGTCAAGATGCAAGCAGTGCATAGAACCAGTAAATGCCAGCTAACCAATCGGGTTAAATACAGGCCCAAGCACTCAGGAATTGCAAGAATAGAACAATACCTTAGAGACCCACCAGGAGCAGAATTTTGGTGGTGCCTGCTGATGGGTTTGGCAGCCACTGGTGAACACATCAGCATCCCACTGGCCAATTAAACAGAACAAAAATAATAGATTTTTAGAGCTGAAAAGACTTTGAAAATACCCTCATTTTAGAAATGAGTACTTATGTGATTCACCCAAGGTCTGATAGCTTGGGCCAAACCCAAGATAAGACCCATTGCAGGGCTCTGAGCCCAGACTGAGCCAGGCAAGATTCTAAGTTGCCAGCTATAGAAAGTGGTTCTGAAAAAAAATTAAAAAAACAAAACAAAACAGAAAGTGGTTCTGGATGCTTATAAGTAAAAAGAAACACATTGCATGGCTGGCTACTGGGAAGGAGAAAAATCCAGGCTTCTAAACCCATAGCCAAAACCATGCCATAAAAGCGGTTTAGTGAAGGCAGCATAATCACTGCAACTGGACACAGGATATCACAGTTGGCAATGCCAGCTCCATGGCTGAACACAACACTCGAAAACGGATGTCATTGCTGGCACCTACCACCTATACAATAAATTCTACACTACCCTCTCTGAACCTTTTAGCACTTGCTTCAAAGTCCCAAGCTGCAAAGGAGGGAGGGAAAATGTGGCCTTCAAGTTTTCAGCTTTCGTGGCAGGAAGCAGGAGCAGAGGTATGAGATGGGCAATTCCACATGTAGGAAGTGTGTTTGGATGCTCTTCCCCAAATGACTGATGGCTGCTCCAGATGGAGACATGCTTTCCACAGCAACATGGTGAGGTTAGAAAACGAGTCAACGGAGCCTCTAAAACTGGACACAAGTAACAGAAAGAAGAGGGAACACGGCGCCTGAAAGAGATGTCTGGGAAATTCCCTAAAAGAAATTCCCAAAAAGAAAATATTTGATGGGACAAGTTTTCACTGGATGAATATGAAATTAAAAATCTGAGAGATAAAAAAAAATCAAATTCCCATCTGTAGTTCACAAGAGAGAGAACATAGGTAACAAAGGGAGAGATGAACACTGCCAAAATAGATCATTGCAACTATGAAAATAGAACAATGAAACCTGTTGAAATTGCTTGGGGAAAGGAAAGAGTAAAGAGGGGCTGGAATGAATTGGAATGCATTGTAAACATGTGTGAAAAGGTAACAATAAAATCTCACTCCACTATATAACTAATGTAAGCAAATAAAAAATAAATAAGAAAAAGAATACAAGTGCATTTAAAGATAAATGCTAATGTGAAAATAACTATAAAACTGGTATAAAGGCAATGGATGTAAAGGGAAACTAGGAGGCTTCATGGAGGTAGAACTTGAGGAAAAAGTAAGACCTGGGTTTTGGTTTCTTCCCTGGGGAAACAGATGTCATTTTACCCTAAACAAAAGAGCCAGGGGAAGACAGGTGCAGAGAATGGCAGGGGGAAGGAACAAAGAGGTCTGCAGGGAAGGAAGCTGAGGGTAGTAATGGAGACAACACTGATCTAGGGTAGGGGCCCGTATTTCAAAGCTGCATGTCCTCCGTCTCTTTGCTTGTCAAATGTACAGGTCATAGTTGCAGCAATGGTTCACAAATGCACACACTCCATGTACTTAATTGTGTTTGTATGCGTATGTAAGTATACCTACGTACATATAAATGTATTTATGTGGTAAATATATACTCTTCTACTGTAATACACATGTCATTTTCACTATATGTAAATATTTCTTTAAATTTCAATGCCAAATGTCTTGCTATGGACTATAATAATCTCAGTAGTCCACATTCACTAATCAGAAGCTCTAATTCCCATTTCAAATGTTTTTGTTTTCTTTAAGATGGAAGTCTCTCTATGATGTCTAACCTGGTCACAAGCACCCAGGTTCCAGCACTCCTCCTGCCTCAGCCTCCCAAGGAGCTGGGACTACATAGGCACATTGCACCCCACCCAACAATTGTACTTGCTTCTGATGAATAAAGATGGAAAGGTAATTTTTAATGTACAAATGATTGAAAAGATTGTTCCCAACTCTATTGTTCTATTTTCTAATTCCTATTCTAGGGGAAACTTGGGCTATTAGCAAATGGACTAATTTTGTGAATTTCAGCAGCCTAGAAAAAAACAGGATTTTGGCAGTCAGTAGCTATTATATTGTTTTTCTTTCTAGAATCCATGTATAATGTATGAAAGAGCCAATGTTAAACCAAGTCCATAGGAACATAAAGGCCCTTTACAACACTGATTGATCAGTTGTTCTGCGCTTTTGAAATGTAAAGGCTTTAAGAGTTTAAGATGAACAAGTTACATTTCCTGACACTTGAAGAGCTTTTAAGAATGCAGTAAAGGCTAATAACAAATAATCACAAATCCCACTGCTAAGAGATACATGGATTTCACTGGTTCTAAGATGCAGTTATTCACATTTGCGTCTGAATTGGGTGTTGAATATCTTGAACTCAGTGGTATTTTAGTGGCTGACCACTTCCCTATAAGAGCTTTCAATGTTACAGCAAGCTGCATGATAGGAAGAATTGGGTCAGCAATTGCTCACCATTCTCTTCCTTCTTGGGTCTTGGTAATATATGAAATAATGGCACAGCTTTTCATCCTGAGTTTTTGGACCTGACTGTGCCCGCCTACCCCGGCGGTAAGTCTGGGGAGGTAACATCTAGGGAAGGTAACATCTGCTTAGAAATTGGAGGTAGAGAAAACATGGATATTTTCAGGAATACCAGAGTTTTAGTTGAGAAGAGAGGAATATCAGAGTTTTAGTTGAGAAGAGAATAAGAAACAAGATCACTGACACTAAAACTGAGAGAAAGTCATAGAAAAGGTGTGTCAGTGCCTCTCGGCCCAGCCCTTTCCACCATAAACACCAGATAGCTGGATGGTATGCATCCTTTCCCCAGTGAAAAGGAGAGGCCTGGCCTGCTCCTCAGGGCCTGTACCCCAACAACATTAGCAGTAGGCACTAACCTCTCCCAGGTAGAGAAGGGCAGAGCTACAGAGAAAGAATCCATGCATACTCAATAGACTGGCAAATGGCAGAGCTAGAACGACTCCAGTCTCATGGGGCAAAGCCTACCTTTCTAACACCATTTCAGACACAAGCCGAAAGAGTTCAGTGAGGGTAAACAATCCGGTAAATCTAAGTGGACCCAGCTGACCCTGAGAAAGGAATGTATCCCCACAAGCTGACCCCGAGAGAAACACACATCCCTAGCCCTTACCCACCTGCTCATAAAAGCAACGCCCCTGGATCCTCTGGAGCTCACAGAAACAACAGGTGATGGCCCATAAATATAATAGTCTTTAGATTACCAAATTAACAGGAGAAGAGAAAATACACACAAGAGAACCCTCAGCAAGAAGCAGCCCTGCCTGGCATCATTAGAGGAACAAATAAAGGTAAACTCAATCTCACTTCGTAATTATATTATTAAATCCATGGCTGGCAGTGGCGGTGTGCAATGCTATCCAAATTTGCTTAAACATTTATAGGATAAAATGAACTGAAATTGCTGAAAGACTACCTAAAGGAGAAATGGAAAATACCAAAGGATAATGAGAAAACACGTGAAACAAAGTCCAGATTTATATATATACTTATTTTATATTTTCATTAATGATTTAAGAGAAATAGGCTATATATGGTAACACAATTGTATCCACAGGAGAAATAGTTTAACTGATAGCTCATTTGTGAGCATAAGTGAAACAATATTAATAAAAGAAAAAAGATTTAATTCTGTTAGAAATATAGGAACAATAATAAAAAATCAAATTAGCTTTATTATGGATAAATAGCACATATTTATATGAAAACAAGAGTAGATTTCTATAGCCAGGTACCAGTGGCTCATGTCTTGTAATCCTAACTACTTTGGAGGCTTAAACCTGGAAGGTCTTAGTTCAAAGTAGATAGAAAACTCTATGAGATTCTATCTCCAATTAACCAGCAAAAACAGAGGCTGGAGGTGAGGCTTAGATAGTAGAGAGCAGGGGCTGGGGGTTTAGCTCAGTGGAAGGGTGCGCGCCTGGTGAGAGCAAGGCCCTGGGTTCGGTCCTCAGCCCTGGGGGGAAAAAAAACTACAATAGATAGTGTGAGGCCCTGTGTTCAAACCCTGGTACCAGCAAAAGAAAGTTCTGTCTTTAAAAATGATTTTGTGTATGTATGTGTGCACATGGACACATGCAGATCTGAGTACCTGCACGAGCTAAGCAGGGCTCTACCACTGAGCCATACCCCCAGCCCTAAAATAAAATCTTTTGAAACTTTACAAGGCTTGTAAGTCCTGGGAATTTTGTCTGCTTTCTGTTACATCTAAGAATTACAAAACAAAAACAACTGACACAACAGATCCCATCTATCTGTGGAATGTCCCAGACCACATAGCTATGCAGTAGTGGCAGAAACTGAGAAAGATGCAGGAGGCTAAAATAAACAGAGGGCAAAATTGTGCAGCAAATGACAGATTTTGTGAATTACAACCATACAACACAGAGAGGTCATTAGGATGTGGGTGATGCCAAGAACCCTGACAAGCAGCAGTCTCTATAAAATGTAATTAAGGGAAGCCCACCTGGAATAGGCACAGTGAATGCAAGGCTAAAAATAAACCAGATAAATTAAATTGCCTTGAGGGAAGAAAAATAATATTGGAGCGCCCCAGGCACCTGTAGGGAGCTTTCTCCAGGGTCAACCTCGGGTCATCCCACTCTATGATGGGAAGAGACAAGGCACAGAAAAATAACCCTTAGGGTGGTAGCAGCTCTCAGCTACTTTTTGCAGTACAGGGGGGATTTCTTTACATTTATCTAAACAAATTGCTTCAAAGGCAAAATGGTAAGTATGATTCTGCTGATATCAACACATATTCTAAGGCAACAGCAGACACACCTCAGAATCAAGAAGTGATAACTTTATGAACTAAATAAAACATGTTCTGTGGAGAGGAGAGTGGGGAAGAAATGAGAAAATTCTAGAAAACGGGTAAAGAGACAGGTTGATTGTGTTGTTGGCAACCCCCCTCCTCCTCTCCCCTCCCTAGCTCCCCTCCCCCTGCCCAGCCCTGGAGGTCCACAGCGCATCTGCTCTGAGTCAGAGTTTATTAACAGCAGGCCCCACAGTGGGAGAAACCATTAGGTTCCTGCAGAAAAGACTTGGCTTTGCATGGCTTATAAAATCACATGAAGAGAGCTTTCCTTACATCTTCCCCCCCCCAAAAAAAAAACATGAAATCCCTAGCTGTCAGGAAAATATCTTTTATAGCTATGAATTATCCAGAGACCAAACGAATACCATTTAGTTCAACTAATTTTCATTTAGCATATACCTTGAGCCAAGTTTAACATTAACCAGTATATTAAAACTATCTAATGCTGCAAACATGTTTTAAACTAGATAAAAATGTTCACTTATACCACCATCAAAAATTTTAAGTTCATTTTCCCATATATAAATTTCAAAAGGATACCATTAAAGATTCACTTGACCTGACCTAAGTATTGTGAGGCATTATTAGCATCTTCTATATCTCTGAACTTGCCTTCTGACTATCAATCCAATGGTAACAATTTGTACACACTTTTCCTCAAATCTTCTCAAGAGCTCATTCCTCAAAAAGCAATATTCCTGCTGGGCATGGTAGTATACACTTCTCATCTCAGCACTCAGGAGGCTGAGGCTAAAGAATCCCAAGTTCAAGACCAACTTGGGCTACCAAAGGAGATCCTGTCTATAAATAAATAAATAAATAAATGTTCTGGGTTAAGTATATAGCAGTAGAACACTTGCCTAATATACACAAAACCCTGCATTTTAGCCCCAGTACAGAGAAAAGGGAAAGAAAAAAAGTAATGGTCATCAAAAGAAAACCAATCTATTCTAAGCCTCAAAACTCCTCCAACTTCCTTGGTACCATTTTCAATCCAATCTCTTCTTTTTCCAGAATATCATTTGGAATAAAATAGAATAACAGAGAAATTATTTAAACTAGTATCTGTCTTAATTTTCTGTCCTTTTAATTTTCGTATTTATGTCTAGACAGCAAATTGGTCCATCCAAGAAAATCAATTTTCTTATACAGTTCAATAGAATCTTGAAACTACAAAAAAATTAAGGGATAGGTAGAATTATCTAAATAACCTAAAATCTAGACAAGTCAATTTCTTTACCCATGGCCATGGAGTTAATTTAAAAAAAAATCTGAATGTAACCCACGTCCACTAGTGTCCAGGCAAGTGGTCTTTCCACCATACTACTTTGTCTCTTTAACAACAGTCACTGGCAGCAATTCTTGATCTTTCTTTGTCAGAAATATCAGATGTCTGCATAGTAGTAACCTACGAGTCCCTGATACTCGACTATAATATCTTAGAAATGCTTTAAATTAATATTTGATCCAGTAATTTCATCCTCCTTACCTCTCATAGGAGACTTCATGGCAGCTTCTACCATCCCCACAAGAAGCTGGAGACTCTTGGGGTCTTGAGCCAGTCCGGATGCAAAGGCCGCCAGGGCATCGGCATGACGTCCTAGGTACTGGAGGGCAACACCCTGTCGGAAGTATGCCTGGAAACAAAGGGAAGAAAAGGCTTGTGTTAACACCCTTCACTCAGGAAGACAGGTGGGATTCTTTACAACAACAGACCAGCAGAACTCTTAACAGAGGAGAGTTTGGCTCAAAACCAGAATGAAAAAAAGCAACTGGTTTCTTCTGGTATCATAGGATGTAAGCATATTTTCTTTTTTTATTTTTATCGTCAAGGTTACAGTTACAGAAGTAAAGTAGGAAGTACATTTCTTGTCAAATTTGTTACCCCTTCCTTCATTTTTCTCCTACTTTCCCTTCTCCCCATTCCTTCCCCCCAAGTTGTACAGATCATTTCCAACATATTGTCTTGTGTATGCCACTGTTGCATTGGTTCCCCCCTTGCTAAGCAAAGTGAAATCCAAGACATGGACATAAGAGGTTTTTCTTTGTTGTTATTTTTAATGGACTATACAATTTTTTGTTTCTTTTGTATGTTCTTCCCTCTATGGTATATTATCCCCTGTTGTCACTGTATTTGATTTTGGTACCCTGGTATTGTATATATGTTCATTTGAATTAGGGAAGAAAAGGGGAACAACAAAATGGTTAGACAAAGGTAAGCATATTTCTTTCAAGTAGCTTATATTTAAAACTTCCATTCTTTTCTGCCTGGGCTAACCTCAGGAAACTAAGATTCAACAGATCATGGTTCAAGGCTAACCCAGGCAGAAAAGTCCATAAGACTGCATCTCCAAAACAACTACTAAAAAGTCAGAAAGGAGGTGTGGCTCAAGAAGTAGAGTACCAGCCAAGCAAGCAAGCCAAACAACCGTGAAGCCCTGAGTTCAAGCCCTGGTACTGGCAAATAAAAAAATGAAATTACTGGCTTCTTATTTAACCTAATACTGTTGCTCACAGTATTGTTTACAACACAAACTCAACTTTTTCCGTCTAACATACGCATAAATTGCGTACATAATATATAAGTGAAGTTTCTTAAAACTACTAAGTTTAAAGTATAATTTTATATCACTATTACACATATAGCCAATGAGAAAAAGCAGACACCTTTCAGGATTATAACATCTTATTTTACTTTTTAAAATAACACTTTGAGGACTTCAGACAAGCCACACAACTCAGGATTTCTATTGAGAAACAATCCATACACAGAACGAATACTCAAATTGTTATGAGCTCTTCTGGCTTCTGTTAGCTTAAACTGCCAGCAGCTGTTAAAACTCAGACCCCAGTCAGACAATAACCTGCAAATGCACTTTCATTACTAATTCATAAGATCACTTCCTTTCACTGGCCTCAGCCACTGTTTTAATCTTTAATGTGTTTACAGACATTTTTCATTACCCTTTTCATTTCACACTTTAGGTGGTTCCTGTAATCCAAGAAGCAGTATAGTGTACATTCCAATTGAAAAGAACTATGGCTTACCTAAGTCTGGAATTGCTATCTTAGTGTTAACATACATACATATATATACACAGACATACATGCATATACATATATGATATATATTTATGCCATGCTACTTATATATGTATATAAATATGCCAAATATCTATAAATGGTAATTATTATTTATAGAGAGACAAATGATGTCTATAGTTACTGATTTCAGGCATGTTTTATAAGAAACAAAAAAATCCTACAGTCTCAATTTTGATAGTCTCTCACATATTTGTAACGACACTTTATCAATCCTGAGTTCACTGAGATAGCAGTTGATTCCCCTGTGTGCCAAGTACAAGCACTGAGAAGCAGGTAAGCACAGTGCCATGTTCAATGTTCATCCCATGTTCCACAGAGTGGACCTGCTTTGCTTTCTTAGGACACTCAGAAATCTAGCGAGAGGGGGTAAGGCCAGACGATGCCTCTCATTCTTCACTTCCTCTCTTCAGGAAATAATAAAAATAAAAGGAGGTATAGGAGAGAAGACTCAAAGGTCTTCCTATCCTTTCCAGGATCCCCTATCCAACTTTAAAAGATTATTATCAGTTAATAGCTCAGTGCTGTCAGAGTGAAGTTCTGACAAATCCCCAGGGGCTCCAGACTCAGAGTGGGCTCTCCCAACTCTTCCCCAAACTTATTCTTTGCTTGTACAAAAAGTATCTAATAAAAGTGAGTTAGTTTCCTATGCTTTTGTGAAAGAGGTGCCATTGTGGAATTTACACTGCTGATAATAAAATCTGGCTTGTGGGTTTTGATGACTTAGTACAGGATCTGCTAGCCTGCATACTCATATCTTCATTCTCAGGTAATAAGACAGGAGTATTACCAAGAGCACACAATTATATCACAAAGTACAAGGGAATTCCAATAAATATTTTCATATGCAAAGAACATTAATTGGGTCATATCAGTACTTACCTACTCCCTACCCTCCTAAAAAAGGATCCTGGCAACTGGAGAATAACTGAGACCTCTCCTTGCTCTAGGCTCCCAGACAAAATCCAAACCACCTGACTAAAAGTAATTGCCATGATGGAATCTGGGGAGATGCCTCTGCCAGCTTTCTCCAAAGCAGAGGTCAAGATGTGCTGAGAGTCACGGCTGTTTACCGTGGCTTGGAGAAAATCGATGCCACGTCCTGTTTCCTGTCCACCCTCCCCGTGGATTCTGCTGGCTCATTGTTTCTTTTACCGTCACAGGTTTTTCGTGGACAGTAGCTTGCTGTGAGAGAGGGGCAAACTTGGATCATATGGGAAGGGGCAGAGCACTGGGTCACGGGCTATAGAAGCCAACACATGATATAGCTTGGATCAGCCTCTGACTGTATATACAGCTCACCACACCCTTGCCATGTGCTGGGCACTGCTTGTGCCAGAGAGGGAAGGAAAGGCACTGTGGATCAACCAGTGAGAGCAGTCTGCCCTGAGAACAGGAAGAAGAGAGACACAGGGGCTAGTTAATGCGCAGACTGAAGGTAGGGCGCCTGAGTTTTCAAGTGTTCTATGGTCATTCATTTACTTTCTGTGGTTTACAAAAGCAAAACAAGAAACCAAGTGGCCTCACAAATGAAATAAAGACAAGCCAATTACAAGAATGAGTTTTCATTCCTTTCCTCTTTGTTTCAATTACCATTCCTTAAAAAACTTATAGTGCCAGCCACAGGTAATACCAAGAAACTAAGGCAGGACTGGTGCCAGTCTATAGGGGAAGGATATAAAAGTTAGAAATGATTTTGCCTCTGGCTGCAGTAAATGTTAACTGAGACAACTCTAGTTATACTTCAGCAGTAACAAAATGTAACTAATGGCTAAAACATTTACAACTTGTTGTTAAAATTGTTAATATTAGTAGCATTTGCTTTTTATTACATGGCCATCCAGAGGGCAAAAACACTGAGAGTAAACAGCTAAGACAGTAAACTATTCACCCTGCAAGTGCCCCTGGAAACAGAGTCCCTGCTTCTAGTACCTATTTCTAGCCACAATTTCAGATGTCATAGAACCAACAATAGCCCAACACCTACTCACCTGGGTCCAAATGAGTGAGAAAATAAACAACTGTGCTCAGAGGAGCATTTGCATTTCTAACAGGAACTATTTAACAAGTACAGATGAGATGTAATGATTCATAGGATTGACATCCTATATTCCTATGGGCACTGTATAGTCTATTTCCTAGTTAAAGCATTTGCTAATAATGTGCCTTTTGATTTTGATCTAATCGAATGTCAAACTTCAATATTTCCAAGCTATCTTTTACAATTTATGCTTGAATTTGTTTTACATCTTCTGAAGAATAATTACCTCCAGCTATAATGTGGACCAATAGGGGGCCAATGTATGCTTTCTATGTCATCATTGTCTTTCTCCATCAATGCTCGTAAATCCCTTGAGTGTTTACCAAATGTTCCTTTGTTGCTTAAAAAAATGAATAGACATGGTGAAGATGGAAATGATTTATAAATTACCACAACCAAGCCAAAATGAAAATGAATACAGAAGGCCCAAACCACTGTAACATCAGTGTGTGTGTACAACTATGTTCAACTGTGTTGGAAGACAATAAAATTAGAGAACAAAAAAGGTCATGTACAAAGAAATGCATATGCATAATTTGAGATTTTTTTTATTTTTCGGAGAATTAAAATCCTTGCTTACTGAAAGTATCGATCATATTTGCCTATTTGTTATCTTACATAGCTGACTTTCCTGGCCTTTGTTAGGAAGGTATTACATGGACAAGTAAAAGGCAACCTGTATTACCTAAAACAGACACCAATCATGAGCAAATTGTACATATACACATGTAAATATAAACTTCTTTACACATGAAAAGACAGCCAGAATCCATATGCTGACAAAGTTGTCACACTCCTGTATCAAATAGGCCTGGGTAGAAATGAAGAAAAAAGTAGCAGAAAATGCAAAACAAGAATCTATCAGTAGGAATCTATCTGTAGGACTATGGAACACATCTTCCTTTCAGAGACTTAATCCTAATCGCTCCTTACTAGAATTATTACAAAATTATCTGAGGTCTAAGCCTGACATTTGTCTTAATATTAAAAAGGGCCCCACGCCAGGCACAGTAGCTCATGCCTATAATCCTAACTAATCAAGAGGCTGAAATCTAAGGATCACAGTTCAAAGTCAGTCCTGGCAGGAAAGTCTGTGAGACTCTTATCTCCAATTAACCACCAGAAAACCAGAAGTGGTACTGTGGCTCAAGTGGTAGAGCACTTGTCCTGAGCTGAAGAGCTGAGGGACAGTACCCAGGCCCATAGTTCAAGTCCAGAGACTGACAAAAGGAAGAGGAGGAGGAGGAGGAAGAGGAGGAGGAGGAGGAGGAAAAAGAACAACAACAACAAAGAGCCTGGCATTGCCAGCCAGACACAGTGACTCACTTGTGTAATCCCAGCTATTCAGGAGATGGAGATCAGGAGGACTGCAGTTGGAGGACAGCAAAAAGTTCATGAGACCCCTACCTCAACCAAAAAATGAAAGCTGGGCACAGTGACAGGCACCTGTCTATCATCTTAGCTACAAAGGAAGCATAAATAAGAAGACTGAGG